CGTGGTACGACAACGAGTGGGGTTACTCCAACCGTGTGGTGGAGTTGATTGAGCACATCTCCAAGGCTTAGATGATTGTGAGGGAGTAGGCGTGTCAATGTGTGTTGTGTGCGTAGGTAGGTAGTAGCTAATTAGTTGAGAGCGGTCATTGCGAGGGCACTTGATTGTGTTTTTCCCTCGTGATTTCTTATTGGCGGAATTATAGTGCGACTATATGTTGGCTTGTGCGTTTTCTTGCGTCGAATTTGGGTAGCTTGTGGCGGGTAGGGAGAAGAGAAAAGGGAGTAGGGAGAGGTATAGGGTGGACCTGCAATAAGTCGATGTTTCTTATTCAATCTATTATCCGTGGGAGGGAAAGAGATGAAACAAACACGCTTAAAAGAGATTCAGATGGAATGCTGGGGTGTTTCTGGTTCTCGGAGCTCGATGGATCGAATGCTTCGGTATTGTAAGTGGAAGCCGGACGCCCTCACGGGAACTTTATTTCGACATAAAATGAGTTTTTTTTTTTTTTTTTTTTCTTTTTCGTGTTCATCTGGGTTCGAACTGAGTTGTGTTTTCTTTGCGTTTATCTAGTTCGATCTAGATAGATTCGATCTCGATTGTGTTATTTATCAGTTCAAGGCAAAAGAAAAATGTTTCAGTGTCTGGTTCTGGCAGTTCGACCGAATACTTTGGGATTTTAAGTGGAGATCGGACGATCTGAAGGCGATTATATGCTTCGACATAGGAGTGTTTCACGTTTTTTTTTTTTTTTTTCACTTGTGGAGTCCCATCTGAATTCGAACTGAGGTATGTTGTTCCCGACAGTTCATTGGTGTATCGAATTTTATTTACGTGGTTGGCTGGTGGAGAACAGGAGGAGGAATGGGCTGCTCGGGGAGTGATTGATTTTAATGTCTTGTAGCTCGGGTTTTTAAAGTAGTGTTTTTTTTTTAGGGTTATATGGTCCAATGAATGACGGGGCAAATATTGAACTGAGCGCAACAGAAACTACACTTTTATGTAAGCCAGTTTACCTTTTCCCTCTTAAAAGTTTTTTTGGTGGTGTTTCACATCCGTTAAAAGGGTTGGAACGATACAGACAAGGAAAATTAACATGGCCCCTGCATGAGAGACTGAAATCGAGAAATGGTTTGAACTTGTTTTGCGAGCGGCGATTCCTATAAGAAAGTCGACTTCTACATGCATTGAATAAAAATCGCGGAAACGAATGGGCACGCAAATGTCAGAGAAACTGTTGTGCAGGGCAGCAGATGCTTTTGTCACAGATGATCAAATTGTGATAAGAATACGAACGAGCTTATCTTTGTTGGTACACCCATAGACTATTGAAGTTCAGACCTAAGTTCGAATCGTAATAATGGGCCTCGATGAATCGAATGAATGATTCTTTTTGTTTTTGTTCTCCGTGCTTACAACTTAGGAGATACTTGTTTTCCTTTTTTTTTGTCTCCCAAAAGCATAATCATTGCAAGCTGGGATGGCTTCCGGCGTCCGTTACGTGACATCTTACAAGTTACTGGTACGCTGCGGCGATGACGTGGCAGGCTGCTTACAACTTACAAGTCACTGGCGCACAGAGACAGGCTGAGTGCCTCTAGAGAGGGTGTCTTTTCAATGTTCTATTCTCTCTCTCTCTCTCTCTCTCACTAGAGAGAGGGCCTTGTAAGTTGCAGGGTGTATGCCCGGCGAGGTCTCGCCAGCAAAGAGAATCGGATACGAAGTCCGAATCGGAGCGGGAGTGTGGAGACGTGCAAAAAATCTGGATTGATCTGCTTTGCTCTCTCGCTGCCGCTGTTCTGTGGAGGTGGTTAGGACCAGGTGCATCCAGGCGGTGACGGAAGGGCCGCCACATACGTCCAGTGAAGTCCTATTGCTACTATGCCTTGAGGATGTTAATTCAATTTTTTTTTTTCTCCCCCAACCATTCCTGGATTTATGCGTGTCGTCCTTGCGCAGGGGCCAGGCTAATTAGTTCTCTATATAATTTCAATTTTTAACGGATGTCTCGAGATGGAACGTCGAAGTTTGTTTTTTGTTTTTCCATCAGAAATTAGAGGCGTTGAAATTTAAGGATGTATGCTTACGTTGAAAGGATACATAGGGCCCCGATCCACTACTGTCCGCTGTACAACTGTTTGGAAAGGTAGCCGACAGCTGTCGCAGCGTCCGAAAAAAAGCCGTGTTTTGTGTTTTCTCGGCGTTTGTCTATACTGCAAGGAAAATGAGCAATAGCGAGATGACAATGTCCAGAATGCACAATCAACATTGAAGGCCAGATAGTATTACAGTGTCCAAAAAGCAGAAATGCACCAATATAACACCAATAAAGAATCGTAACACTGAAAACCAATGTGAACGAGAGCTTGATCTCGCCACCACCAACATGAGTATCCAGGCCCTATCTCCCTACTGTGGCGCTGGCCGCCCAGCCTACTTCCTACACAGCTACAGTCTGCCTACTAATTGACAATGCAACTGTTGACGTCAGCAGACCACAAGGTACTTGAAGATGTTGCCCAATGCAGACCATCGCCAATACCAGGTAATATGCGCCCGCACATCATCATCATCATCATCCTTCTCTCGCTCCCCTGACTTACTCCCACGTCTTCCCTCTGTACACCCGAAGACCACCCCTGCGTCTCACTGTAGTCCAAGCCACCGATCCAGCTATGGAGGCTGGGCTATGGCGCGGCCCACAGCGGCACCCTGCTTCCTGCACGACCGCAGGCACTAGCACCTTGCCTCTCAGCGCCAACAGCAGCCCACGAGCGCCCGCTCCAGCAGTGCTGCCGCCAGCATGCAAGTGCTGAATGAGGCTCCAGGCAGTGAGCAATGGAAAGAGCCAGCCTGCCTGCCTTCGCAGCCTGGCTGGTCTGGGCCTGGGCCCAGAAGCTTCCGGTAGGCCCCAGAATGCCGCCCCTCTGTTGCAGCTTTTGGGCCTCATTCGGTTGGGCCTCTGAACTGTCTGTGTATGAGCCTGCGATTCTTGTCCAGGGCCTGGAGCATTTTGGAAAGGCCTGGAAGGCCGTGGAATGTCTCGCTGCTCGGTCTGTGTTTCCTTCAACCAACTGGCGCGACGAAACTGCCTGGACCCCAAATACGAAATTGTCAGCGTAGGGCCTCTCGTGATTTGTTAGGCCTGCTTTTACTTAGGGCGGGCACATCTGCAGCAAGAGGCCCCTTACGCCTGCCGAGGACCCAGATCCTCAAAATGCTAATGTCTGCTGTAGAACTCTCAAATTATCAGACACCGCCATGACAGCACTACAAAAAACAACAGCAATTGTGGCGTTTTGTCTGCCCAGTCTTTCGGCTCACTGTCCGTAATGGAGTGGGGTCTGTGGTGGTTGGAGCGAGGACCGTCCTTGTAACGACTTTTGCAGGCTGGAAATTGTACATAGCCGGATCCGTGTTTTGTAGGCGTCCGAACACGTGTTTTCTTGGCGTAGCTCTGTTATACTTTGTGTTTTGTAGGCAAATATGTGTTTTCTCGCGGGCGTAGCTCTGTAAATATAACAGAGGCCATCTTCTGAGATGGGATCACAGCTTCTGCAGCTCTTGCAGCAGGGAGTTTGCAGGTGATGGAACGAGCTTTCCCATTTTGCTGTAATCTCAGCAGTCCCCGTTGCCGGATTGGCGTCGATGCCTCACTCCTTTGGTAAGCTTGTTCAAATTCCAAGTTGTTGTCCCCCCGTGTTTCCAGCCCTAGCTAGATTGATCCCCCCGCAGCACTGGCATGGCTGTGCCCCTGCAGTAAGTGAGCTTGATTGTCACGAGTGCCTTCATGTACTTGCACTTTCATCTCCGGCATGGAGTAGGTTCCATAGCTGGTACATTCCCCATCTTGAATCAGAACGGGGCAGCCTGGGCGCGGTCTTATGAACTTGACAAATTTGCAAAGAGCATCCCTCCCTACCAAGCATAGGAATTGCTTTTCTCATTTAGTATCTCTTTCTTGAACAAGGTCCCAATTTTAGGGACAGCCTCAGGGGCAATCAGCTCAGCCCAATATTTGGGGACTGATGAGCTCAGTTCCATGGCGGGTTGTGATGAGCAATCTCACAACCGGCGCGGCGTTTCGTACCGAGTGATGCCCAATCAGAGTAATTGGGGACGTGGCCGAGGATTTTAGGGAAGACGCGGAATCTACTGCTTCTCTTGCGCTAGGTTCATGCCAACTCTATTGCAAGTACCCAAGAGATAAGGGGCCTCTAAGCTTCCGAGTCGGATTCATCAAGGCTGGGTGGTCGGCTCTGACCGTCGTCCTGCAGTTGGGGCGGGGCCGTGGGAACCCAGTTTCAGGAGCTTGCCAGTAGAGGGCGTCTGTGCTGCGGGAGAGTTCTGGGATCTGGACGGAGCCTTCGTACCTTGCCAGAGCTGTCGCCAGGAACACGAGTCTCCAAGCAGACACCATCTACAGTTAAACTTGGGCCGCCACGTGATTTGCACTGCTGACCAAGGTAGCACTGTCCAATCAGTGAAAGGCAAAACCAAGGGCGGGGTCAAAAATTGATCAATCCCCCCCCCCGCCCCCCCCCCTACATGGCCAGGCTTTGAAGGGTTGTATAAATGAACCTGGCCGGTCCCCATCAACGCGCTCTGCACATCCACGTCGCAGTGCACACTATCTTCAAATGTGATCGGGAAGGATGGAAGGGTGTTACGGCGGATCGATGAAAGGGTTGAGCACGGACAGTTCCGCGCGTCCTCGTTTAACGTAGCACATCTCGACTCCATACAAGTCTCAATGAGTCGTGCCCCACTCCCTCCCACTTAAAATAGAATGCAAGTTCAGGGACACTGCGTTGTTGATCCTAGAATTGTCACTGTGGCAAAACGACGATGGCCGGGTAGCAAAGAGAGAGGGCGCTTAGAAGCATGTGCACGCTGTCTCTGGTTGCCAGCACTGAGCCTAATGGCACAGGACCAACTGACATGTGGCACTCGTGCACGAGAGGGGAGAGAGGATACTACAGTCGGCGACAATTCCCGATGCTCACATGTCGCGTGGGGAATCGGCAAGGCTTGGGGAGAACAAGGGGAAACCAACACACTGATGCATACAAGCAGACGCTTGATACCCAAGCACTCCCCAGGATCGTGCCTTCGTGCGCCTTACACCCCCAACCGAATTTCCACATCCATACGTCTTGGTTTGCGAAGCATTGAACATCCATACACCCTCATGACCAACATCATGTATGCGACTAAGTATCCACACTTAGTTTACTGCACACACAACACTTGGACAAAGCAACATTGAAGAAAAGAGTGAGTCCCTTGCCATTCAAAATTCCACAACCCGGCCTCTCTCATGCACGGCCCCCAACCAACCCGAACGTCAATGAACCATATCCTCAAGGCCCTGTCACTGGTTACGTTCTATCTCCACCATCGCTCAGTCCCTCTGCACGGACGTACCCAAATGTCTACCGCTAATCCCACCTTACGTCGTCACTTTGTCCGTCACTTGGGCGCGTCGAGCCTTTTCAACGCCGCGGTCTTTGCTCATAGTTCGCGCGACATTGCCGCCGAGATCAAAGAGGAGGAGAGGAAGGGGCTGCGGGGGAATTAATAGCACGCATCGGGGTGCCAGCGTGTGGTGCGGGCAGCAAGGGGTGTAGACAGCCGTGTAGTTGAACAGGACAGAGGAAGAGAGGGGGTTTTAGAAGGATCAAAGGAGGCGAGGCGGTCGTCCAAGCCCCGCGCACAAGTTCACTTCCGCGGGATTGATTCGGCCATCCAAATTAACGACCAATCGACTGCCCTGAAGGGTACGGGGAGGATCGGGCGCAGAGTCGGGGGAAAAAGCAAGGACATGCAAGGAGAAGCACTCAGCTGGAGAGGAACATGGCGCACACATGCATAGAGGGAACCGAGCTTACACGACATGCATGATTTCAAAAATGGCCAGGCGCGCTTTGACACAAGAAGAATTTGAATGCCGACAACTGTAATTCCTA